CGCCAGCTGCGGTGTGAACGCAGCATTAGTCATTCGTTGCGTTCGCCTGTCTGCTAAGCTCAAAACAACCTCGCCTGGCTTGACGGAGAAACCAGGAGAACAGCTGAGCATATTTACCACAGTGCACTTTTACTTTCGCCCTCTGGGGGGAGCCTCGCTGGAAAATCAACACCGGTTGCATAGTGTACCTTTAATTAGGATGAACAATCAAGAAAAAAAATGTTTTGATGACTTTCTTGCAATGTAATATATTCGCGTTTCATTTTTATCCAACGCTTAATTTTGTGAAAAACATTTAGAAATACCTTAAAAAATGAAGGAACATTGCAAATAGTAAGCCTAAGAAAAAGCGGTGCATCATATGTTGATGTTTATAAACTGAAGATAAAAAAAAAACAAATAATCTCAGAAGATGAGACCATGAGGTTCCTAGACCAGAATCGTTTCACATAAAAACTATCAACTGAACATCCATTAAGGACTCTGGAATCTTCTGGGATGAAGAGTAACTGCATATGAACTAGAATTTCTCCCTTTTCCAATACTACCAACTCTGTTTGCCTCATTTTGGTGTATATTAACACATCTCCATACTGGTGATTTTCCATTAAATTTAGTATTGAGGCAATTTCATTACAACAAGGCAGCCCCACTGTCTGTATGTGACAAAAACACAAGACAACAATGAAGGACTATCTGCAGAGTTTAGGTCTTTTAGTCAGACTCATACATTAATAAAAGTAGAGAGCAAGAGAAATATGCTGAACACTGGATAAGCCATGAAAAAAAAGGAGAGGTACAACAGTAACCTAATATTAGCTTGCTTTGATTTAATATGCACAATAAGTCCAGTGAACAGTAGTTTTACAGTTAAACATAATAACAATTATCTTATCGCTGTAGAACATGCATGCAACAATGGTGACTCCACCAATGTTTTGCCAGTTCATAGTTAAAAAGAACAAACTCAGAGTTCAGTTCACACAGCTGAAAATGAACTAGTTCGAATTTTTAAATTCGAACTAAGTTCACAAAGCTATAAATGAACTAGTTGAAGTTCATTTGGTAAATTAAGCCACAATCCTACACAATAGAACCTGATATTTCCCCTTTTAAATGTGTGATCATATAATATAGAAAGAAATGGAAACTACTCGATGCAGTAAATGCACTGGATGTGCAGTGAAGTATTTATTTAGCCAAATTACACAGAACTTCAGAAACATACAGGTACATTCAGGTTCTGCACTCAATAGCAGATATTTGCCAAGATAGCTCGGATGTTTTAACTCGATTTGTCGCTTTAAATTTGAAGTTAATGTGGCTGATGTAAGTCCCGATGGGCCCAGTTCACACGAAAGTGGGAGATTTTCTTCCTTTGTAGTTCATAAATCTCTGCCAAGCGCTCTGCTAAACTGGTATCAGAAATACCAGTAGATGAGTCTGAATTACGCAGACTAGTACTAGCAGTAGACACGCTGGTCTGTCTTGATTTTTGCCATAATAAAAAAAATAAAAAACGCATACCAGAAAAAATTTTTATCCGACATAAACATTGCTGTAGGAAAAGACTTAAAAACTTGTTGTGTATCAAAAGGATCTTAATGTTACAAATGGAAAAGAATTTTGACATATTATTGCTTTGTTCAGGCAAGTAGCATATGGCTTTTAAAGTGATCCACGACTAGTTGAGCATCCTGGCGTAAATAATTTGTAATTTTCATGTTAACTTAAAAATTGGTGCTTGTGATGCATAAAAACTCAATTAATTTTGTTATAATTTTGATAATATTTGAAATCCCTGAAGGCAGCCATTTTGTCACCTATGGAATGCTTGTTGGGTTGGCAGAAGCTTGGATGAAATTAAATCTGAAGATAATTATTGTTCATATATTGCATTGTTCCTCATTTCCGGTTATCTAGGTTTGGTGTCCTGCACCTTTTAGATCAGGTGTAACCAATTAAAATTCAGCGGGGTTTACGGTATGTGTAGATGAGACCAGCTCAAGATCAGACCTAGCTGGATGGCTCAACCTCTTACACAAGTTTAGGCTCCTTACATACAGAGAGGTGACATTTCTTGTCCCTTTAGTAAGAAAATAATGTCAGCACAATCAGATCCTCCCCCACCCTGCCACCCCACCCATTCAGCACCTGAACCTGGCCAAACCAGAGGAGTTACTGCGCAGCTCGGTGAATGTGGAAATGCATTTAGAGCAGATAGTAAAAGCCGTTGAGTCCTATTAAAAGTAACTGAGTTTAGCCTCTTTTTTATTGTAAAAAAGAAAAGAAAAGGTGGTTTTCATAGTTTGATAAAAGTTTGATTGTCAAGTGAACTTAAATCAGTATTAATCAAAATCACAAATTGAAAGAAATATGTCAAAAGCAACAGCACAGAAAGGGTTAAAGCTGTCCATAATATTCATGTTCATCTCGCTGTGTGGTAAAATAAAGATATGAGATCAATTCTAAGAACTGCTGTTTTTCATAATGTCACCATATTGATTTAATCTGAAAGCAGATAATGTTTGCTGAAGAAGCTCTACATTACACTTTTCTATGGTGCTTTCTGACTGTGCTATTTTACTCTGCCGTTAATCTGATGAATGGTAGCAAACTCCTCAACACTGCACAATGAAACTTTCTATTAGCTGTCCAAAAAGTAAGCTCAACCCATAAAGAACCTAATAAAAGCAGAAGTAGATAAAAAGGCAATCATTCTAAAAGTAAATTACCCAATAAATTTCCAAACCTTCCCCCTTTAACTGTAATGTTTTGTGAAATGGAATGGTTCTCTTGGTTCTTTCTCCTTTTCTTTATACCTTTATATAGTTGACTTGTGTAAAAAAATAAAAATATCATAAAATGGTGCCTTTTGTTTGCTTTACCTCTGAAATGTTTTTTTTTTTTCATACATTCGTCTCTATCACAATTCGTCCTCCTCCATTTACATTAATACACTTAACTGTACCTTCTTAATTTATCAACAGGTTCCGTTTTTTCCACTCTTTCAAATAACATTTTAATATTATGGGACTTTTGAGCAAGTCATGGATTTCTCACAGTGTTTATCAGTCCACTTGGCTCCCTTGGTATTACGTCTATGATTTACTTTGTAGTAGCTTCCTCTGACTTTAATTTGCATGTCTTGGACACCCAGGTGAAGAGAGGGATGGAATGATTCATGGATAAAATGGTGCACAGGGTCACTTTGGATACACTGGAATAGATTAGAAGTAAAGGAAGCTGGACTTTTTCTGCAAGCTCAAGGAAGTAGGCTCAACTCAGAGAGAGTTTTGTTTTCAATTCTGGGGGGAGATGTCTGGGGACAATGTTCTCTGCCTCAACCTCTATTGTCAATGTGGTAAACCGTTTTTGGTCTCTTTCAAGGTGGTTATTCCCAAACCAGACGGTGGACACTGGCAGTAAGCGATGCTGTTCAGCTGAAGAAGCTACTTTTGCAAGCCTTGCTTATAAGGCTCCGGAGGTAGCAAACAGCTACTATGAGGCCAAGTGTGCTGCTATGGTAATAATCTATCAACAGCAATTCCCTAAATAAAACAACAAATATTTTATATTTGCAAAAGCTTGAGTTTAACAAATGCATAACATCACAGGGTGTACGTTGATAGGTATTAGTAGATCTTATTATCTGTTCAGGGAGTGGCAGCCTAGTGGTTAGGGCATAGAGCTTGGAATCCTGAGGTTTTGAGTTTGAAACTAGCTCCAACAGACTGCCACTCTGGGTCCCTGAGAAAGACCCTTAACCCCTGATTCCTCCCCGGGTGCTGCACAGTGGCAGCCCACTGCTACTCAAAGGGGATGGGTTAAATGCAGAGAGTTCATTTCTCCACTGTGAGATCTATAAAGTTCAATTTATTTATTTATTTAACAAAAATTAACAAAGATAAACTAGTTTGACTCTTGTAATTAGCTTATTTCTATACTATGAGAGAGCAAAAAGAAAGTTTCATTTTAAACCCTTAACCACAATGAAGTATACATTCGACCCAAGGAGTTCGGTCAAACTTAACATTTTCCACAGCACTCCACCTATATATTTAAGCCTTTTATGCCTCTAACCTTTTATCTTCTCTTTTAGAAAGACTGGAACTTATTTTATAAAATGGCCTTATTTAACTTCTTCAAACTTTTCTTGGAGAAAACAGTTTTCCTTGGAAAAAAAAAAAAAAAAAAAAAGAAAACCCGTGAGGTATTGCCTAATGGGGCTCATCTCTTTGACTCCTGATGTAAATTATAACTGAAAATCTTTATGATTCCGGCTGATGCTAATTAGAGGCCGACTCCCCTGCCAGTCTGTCTAGAAGCTAAGGATACCAAAGAATCTAAAGAGCTGGAGGTTGGTGATGCTGTAATGCCTTGTAAGGAAACTGGATGCACAGAAGAGGGAGGGATAACATGTTGGAATGACTGCAAAGTAAGCCTATTATCATGTCTGATCAATAGTCTGAGACAAACACAGCACACAAATATGCAGAAAATGTGTACAAATGCAATTACAAACTAGAGAAGCCTGGAGCATGAATGTAGTTGTTCCCTCCTGTTACTAATTATCCAGCTCCCTCAACTAATATGTCACATTTGAGGACAGCATTAAAGTGTGAAGATTATAAAATAAATGAGGGTTGTTCTAAGCCAGGAACTGTAGATGTGTGAAAGCTCATTATCTGACAGAGGCAGATGTGCTTTTAAAACGCTTGTCACATAAAACAGAAGATGAATGATCCGTGTTCTGACAAACCCAGGAGGGGTGCCTTGAGTTGGAAACAATGTGGAAAGGGAGAGGCATGAATCCAATTTAATTATTTAAAGTGTTAACGCTGCAGAGCTTTATCTCAACAGAGAGAACATCAGAAAGTAACAGCTTCTGCCCATGTTTCAATAAGTAAAGCAGTTAGATATGCGGCAGTAAACATAAAAACAAACATCTGTATTTTATAATCCATGTAGAAATGTAAGGACTTTGGGCTAATACTCACCTGTGCAAACGTCCAGGTGAGCTTCAAGTGTTTTGTGGCTGCGTAGCTGCACTCCAGCAGCCTAGGCCGGCTGTTAACATCCACCAGACACTTGTTATCATCGTCATCTATGGTGGGACTGAGAACGCCAAGGTGGATCTGCTGGGAGCTGGTGAAGTACACATTCTGCTGGGAGACAAAGATAACTGAGTAAAGAGGATGAATTTCTGCACACGGTTTCTACTAATTACCGTACAGACCAGCATATAGGACGGCCCTGATTATAAGACCAGCCCCTCTTTCCAGGGCCAGTTTTTAGGAGAAAAAAAAAGACCTAAAAGAAAAAAAAAAGACTGATAAACCAAATATATTTTGTGCAAAGACTTCATTTGCATTTATAGGCTTGTGCAATTAAACAGGTAAACAAAAACAACAACAAAAAAAACAACAGTGATGTCAACAGTCAAACAAATCAAGTGGCTGTAACTTATTGTTTTGAAACCCGCCTCTGGCAATGGATAAAAGCTTTCCGTAGGATTGTTATAAATGAAGCTTGAGCTTTGTTTTAAACTGGACTCCTTGTTTTAACCGATGGTCTAGCAAATACCTTGAAGTACCAATAATCTAACATCCACATGCACAAACAAGAGGAACCATGCTGATGAAGGTTCTCAGTCATCCAGATCATAGTCATTCCGTAAAAAGGGACCCACAAAGGACATTCTTTTGAGGACCAGAATGTTCACATTCTGGATAAAGAAAATAGGTGGTTTGAGAGGGGCGTGAAGGAAGCCATCTATGTTAAGAGAGAAAAACCAACTTTAAACAGAGGTGGTGGACTCAGATTCCAGCTTCCAAAAACATACAATTCAATCATAGACATGATCCCTTCCAGATATCACCAAACCCCCCACCCCATCACAGAGGAACGAGGGACCTACCCGCTCCAGCCAGGTTCAGATAATACAAGCTAACGATGGAACTAACGACCCATTCATCGGTTACCATTTGCATGTTTCCAAGCAATACAAGGCCTTGTCTATATAAGACTCAAACTCACTGCGGATCCAGACATTTGAATTGAAAAGCTTCCTGGAGAGGTGGAGAAACGTCTTCAAATCTTGGAAACCAAGTCCAGTGGATATTTTTTGAATTTTTACGGAAAGAGGAACCATCAATTCAGAGAACAGAATGGGAAAAAGTATCTCAGATCTACAGTGAATGACAGAAATAATTAATATAGAAGCATCAAAGCATTGCCTCCCAAAGTTATTCAGCACAATTAATGAAAGATCAGTCATGGTTCTGTCAAAGGTTATTGAAAATAAAGAAAAATTCCATGAAAGTCATTACCTTAAGAGTGCTGATGAAAATCTACTGAGATGATGTATCAAGAACTTTGGCTACTATTACAAAACTCAAGTGATCAATAAGGTTAAAGTTTTAAATACAGGTAATTAAACCAGGGGAACAAATGAACAGCATCACCTGCCTACAGACTTTGCCACCTTAAACGGTTAGTATTAAGTTATTAAGAAAAACACAGATTTTTGAGTTGTTCTGTGTTGTAAAAACACTAAGGATGACAGAGAAGAGCAAAATTGTGCAAAGCTCTAATGGGAATTGTTGCCCTGCAGAGATATTGGCTGTATTAAGTGACATTTGTGGTTTAAACTCTAAAACACACTAAACTGGTGAAACATGGTTCACTTCACGTAAGAGTTACCTAAAACCTTTTTGAATTGTTACAAAAAAAAAATATGTTTAGCCCAAAGACGCAGTGCCAAATCATGCGAAGTGTACCTTCTAACTAATATTGGTTTTATATTTTGCTTTTTTTTTACCAACCTGAAAATTGAAAGAGACTACAGTACTGAGAAACTACCACTGGGGCCTTTCATGAAAATGCAAGAGAAGCAAAAATAGCACAGATTACAGGTTCTTAATATCCAAGTTTTAAATAGTTTAACCCTTTACTCTAGTTCTAAAGCAATGTGTTTGAAAATAAAATGAAAAATTCAATATAAATGAAACATCGCAAAAAATCAAGTAAAAAGATGACCAGTCTTTAACACATTCAAAGAAGCGATTAAGAACATGGAGGGTCTAATTGTAAATTAAGCTGAGATTTACATTAAAAGACCAAAGTGACTGGATAGTTGCTTTTAATCAGAGGGTTATGAGCTGGATTCCAGCATCCTACTGCCACATGTTGTTGGGCCCCTTAGCAAGGCACTCAGCCTGAAGATGCCTAACATTAATTTGTTATGACCTGTCTAGGGGTAGCCAGATCATAGCATGAAGGATCCATCCTTTTCAGATTTAAAGCAGCCAACACACACATGAAGTTGAACATTTTATGAAGTTATTTATTTAAGAAAGAAGATTGATTGAGCAATTAGAACAAGTGGAGCATATGATTTCAGATAGAGCTAATGCTGAAAACAATAAACTAAAAGAGACTATCTGAATATTAATCAACTTACCTAATTGAAAGTAAATAAATCAAATGACAAAAACACTTACCTCCCTCACTAATAAAAACATGAGGAAACTAAGTAAACAGAAACGGCAACTCACTCCTACAAGCTCCAGAACTTTAAAATGATGTTAAACAGTGTGGCCCGTCGAGATGAGCTGAGGATGAATGCAGGAAGTCCGCGTCAACAGCCTTTATATCCGTCACCTCCGGGAGGCCACCAATTGGACGTCTCCGTCGTCATCTAGGAACCAATCGACGACAGGCACCTCCACACTCATATTTACATAAAATGACGACGCCAGTCGTAGCACATTGATGGTGAATGTCGGCCTAATGTGAGGAGCTTTGATTCAAAGACTAATGATTAGAGATGTCAGAGCTTCTGGTACTAATAAAGAATCTCAAAACCTTTTGTGCGACAGGACTTATAGGCACCCCCCACCTCTTGGAAATTAATAAAAGTACATTATTAACTCAAGTGTGACATAAAACTAAATGCACCTTCATATGTTTTGGGTTTTATAATAGAGAGCTTTAGCCATTCATTACATTTGTGTAACTTGCTTTTTTCTAGGTCATTTTTTGGAAGGGTAACAGTACCAGTTTAGCAAGCATCATATATGAGCATCTCCTTCACTGACAGCCGTCTGGAAGGCTAAGTGCTATCTGGAACAGGCCCAGCAGCCAGGACTTAGACACCATACTGTTGACCCCATGAAAGGTGAAGGAACGGAAACTACAGTTTGATGTTTTAGGATTAAGCCTCTGGCTGGAAAAAAAAAACAATATAAGTTCAGTCCTTTGACAGTTTAAGAAAATAATGATTTTTCTTCAGTAGGGTTGAAGTAACTGGGACGACTATACATTAATGATTTTAATTTGCAGATTTGTAGAATCTGTTGAATTCAACATTATTGTCAATCTACAGCAAATATGGGATGATTTTTATTCCAACTTCTGCAATGAAATAACATTTTACTTCTGAGCACTGGTTGATTCTTCAAGTATACAATCTGAGTGCATTCTAACTGTTCAATTTCCTGCAACAAACCTAAGAGATATGCATGAGCATTAATTGTAGTGTTGTGGTCAAGACCACCTAACCCGAGACCAAGACAAGACCAAGACCAGAGTGTATCGAGACCCGAGACAAGACCAAGACTTTTAGGGTCCGAGACCGAGTCAAGACCAAGACCAGCACCAGTATGTGACAATAAAATGTGAAACTTGATCAAAATCACTAAAATTGATCTAAAAGACCCACATTCACATAAAAACACCTAGATATTTAACACACAGAACTGGAATAAACAAACATCTTTATTTAGTACTTCTGTGTAATAATCACAGAATTTCATGCTTTGAAATTCTGTATGCTTTTTTCTCAATGTTGCTTTACAAATATATTCTTTGTGATTTAAATAGCCGAATTTTATAACCGATGATTTGGCCGACATCTTATCCCGTTCTCAGACAACCACTTGTGACTTTCAATCGAAGTGCTGCAGCCCACGTGCAGGTGAAAGGGGGTGGGTGTGACAGCGGTAAAAAAAAAACAAAAACAAAAAAAAAACATGCATTTACCAATGAGGCAGGTTATTGCTTGGATTTGAATCCAAGCATCCAATAAAAAGAAGGATCTTAAAGAAACTGATAATATTCTGAGGATTAGCGTTATTTCCACAGTTGTGGTCTTGAAATAAAATGCCGAGTCATCAGCGCCCGAGACAAGACTGAGACCAAATGCGGTCAAGACCGAGACGAAACCGAGACCATCAAAAAATGGTCTCGAGACCAAGACGAGTCACCAGTACTACAACACTGATTGATTGATTCACATTTCTAATTCAACATAAAGATGAAGACGACACAACATGGGCTTTAGATATCATGGCAACCATATATGCAGGTTAGACGGTCATCTGTACAATGACCAGCAGAAAGCAGGATAAAATATTAACAAGTAAAGTTAATTTTAATGAACTATGGATTTACATTTACTGAACGAAGTTAGCAAAATGCAGTTAGTTTAGCATTAATAGTGTTTTTGTTTTTTTAAAAATAAGATGAACATTTCTTATTCATTTTTTTTACAGTAGTTAACTTCTGCTAAATTTTAACTTACTGAAGCAGTAGTAGTAAAAAAACAGAGAAAGATTATTTGATAACAAATTTTTTCTAAAGAACCTCTTTTTCACTTTCTTTTTTCCACATCCTAGAGCTGCTCCTTTTTGAAATTGTGGTTAAAAAACGGATTCAAAGTTTTAAAGGATTTTTATTAGTCCTGTCAAAATTATTGCGTTATTATCGCGTTAACGCGAGGCCATTTTAACGGCGATAATTTTTTTAACGTGAGATTAACGCTATGTGGTTTTATGGTAAAATTTTCCAAGTACATCCCGCTGCAGCCTGCGGGAAGGCGGGGCTATTTTCCCCCAGTCTATGCATTTCTCATAGGCTTCGAGAGCGGAGCTCCTCAAGGAAAAAAGACGCTAATACACTGGGTGGCGCTAGTGCCTTTTCTTTAAGCCCCACCACCAACAAACAAGTTGAGTGTCTGGTAACTAGTAGCAACCTGAAATAGGCTGAGAAAACAGATTACTGAGGTGAAATGGAATCTGCTACGGCACTCTTGCTGTCTGTGTACGCCACAGGTCGGTATCGTGTGTGTGTGTGTGTGTGTGTGTGTGGGTGGGTGGGTGTGTCT